GGATGTGTGTGCTAATAGCCATGGCTTCCTTCAGACGACCTAATTGTAAAAAGTAGATTGAGGATGATTCCCATCTTTTCCAGTTCAACCATGACCGATCTCGCTTCACGTTGTCTTAAGTTACCCACATTTATCACCAGTAACCATTCGCTTCAGAAATGCATTTTATTGAGATTCAGTAGCGATTTATAGAAAAAATCCCGTTTTATGTGGTTTTTTAGCGTTTACTTTTGTGGATATAATGGAGCTGCTTTTTGTGTCCATCTTTATTTAAGGCTGTCGTTTTTCTGCTTACAGACCTTCTAGAGAGGCATGGAAAGGAAGGACTCGCTGGAGGAGAGGGCAGTAAGTTTTTTTATGGATGAATCAAGGTTTGCAAGGAGGGTTGGTGGAAGAGTACGACGGTCGGACCTATCCATCAGTTTCAGTTTAAGGCTTCCTGACCACTGTGTAGTGTCTTCCAGGTGGAAGTGACTACCATAAAGCTACTATCCACTTCGATAATAGGGCAGCGATATTAACCTTGAAGTAATGAAGGGATGTCTTACCTCTAGTATCGAGTTACTACATAATTAGACTGGTTTAGGTGCCTGGTTAAAGTGATATTGCAGGAAACTACAAGGCTGATGAGCTCCTATCATAGGAACCTTTTATCTGCTTTCCAAAGACCTGTACATAACAGTTTCCCATTGCTATGTGGAAGGATCAGCCATCTAACCTAATCCAACAGAACATATACGTTTTTTGTGCAATTTTTAGCTCCTTTTATATTCTTCTACTGACCTACTCTAGGTCTAGATATGAGTGACCTTTAGTGGTTTCTGCGAATTTATTAAGAAATCGCTTAGTGATAACATTAGCTTATTTTTGCTGAACATGTACTTTAAGTTAAATTAGATTAGTTTCAATTTACTAATGTACTTGCCTAGACTTTAAGGCAGACAAACAAATTTTTCTGCAATTTTTTTTACTTCAAAATTTTTGTATCTCTACCAATACGAATATATTTTACTTCATTTCTTACTGAATTCGAGTACAGTTGAATGTACACACATTTGTTCCTAAGCTCGTTAGTAATGTTGTTAGTGATTTGCATGTCTACAAGAGAAATTACGTCTTCATATTCATATCCAAGAATACACTCGGATTCAATGTGCTTCATACATATGTATATACAGGTCTAGCAAATGTGTGTTTGCGTACACATTTGAGTAGACACTCCCTTTGTGAATTGTTTTGTGATGTTTTGTTGGCGCATGAAATTCACACTTTGATAGACATAAATCAAAAGTGAAAATGCAAAATATGTGGCAAGGAACAGACGAACAGCTCTCGTAACAACATAAAAATATAAATACGAATATGACTTCCAAAATAATAGCTGAAAAGTGGTTGGACTTAGGTGATTTCAGTTCTGCTTTGTTATATAAGGAGTTTTTGAATTTTAAAGCAATAGCTGATATTAGCTTAGGACTATAGGGACTATTGTCGATTTTAAAGAGTTTTTAGATGTATTTTGTACTAACAGACGGGCTCAAAAGTTCATCCCGATTTTCACAAGAAAATTTTGTTCAGCGAGGAAGCTCACTTTTGGCTGAATGATTATGAAAATGAACAAAATTGTTGCATTTGGAGTGACGTCACATCTTCAAAGAGTCAATGTTTTGTGTGCTCTAAGGGCAGCGGGAATCATTGGTCCATATTTTTTCAAATATGAAGCTGACCAAATTGTTACAGTTAATGGTGAACGCTATAGAGCCGTGATTAATTACTTTTTCGTGCCTGAATTGGAGGATGTTGATGTGGACGACTTTTGGTTCGAACAAGATGGCGCTACATGCCATATACCCAACGAAACAATCAATTTATTGAAGCAAACTATTGGTGAGGGCATTATCTCGCGTCGTGGGCTTGTGGCGTCGCCTCAATGGACTATTTTTAATGGGGTTGTGTGAAGTCAGTTGTCTACGCAGATAATTGCTATTGCAATTGTTGCAAAAGGTGATTGAAAATTGGGCCTCTCAAATCAATATTAAAACTTAATGGCAAACCCTCATACTTATAATATATCTAAATTCTTCACCGAAATATTAAATTAAATGCGTTTTATTTTTTTTTTAAAACCACTAGTCTAAAAAAGCGACCTCTACTTCGACAACTTCATTGTGATTTAATAAAGCAAATTTTGTGTTTAGAACTTGTTTGTAAAAATTTAAATTCGAACCTTTACCAGTTACTTACCTGGTATCACCGGATTGGTCTTAAACTCTGTTTATAGATCGAAATACCGATTTATTAAAATATTTCATTAATATTGTGAAAGCTGGAAAACATGAAAGCACTCTATACCATAAACAAAATGCTTGAGTTCTTGTAACCAAGTCAAAAGCGTATAAAAGTCTATTATATACAAACATTGTGCAACAGTTTTCCAGCTAAATCTCAGTGAAATACGTATATAGCATATTATACGGCGTTAAAATGGATTTTAAATTTTAAATTTAACCATTTGGGAAAACATTCATAGCAGATTTCTACATGAAACTATATTTTTTTGTTGCCCTGGATATCTAAGCAAATTTCTATGGTTTCATGTATGGTTTATTCATGAATCTATTGAATGTGCTTTTGTGTTTTTGATATTTGCATTTCTTGTACTATTTTGATCAATTATCGGGTTATTGGTAATTATATTTATTTTTCCAGTCGTAGTTAGGGTTTTGTTTTTTTTTGTGAGTGGTGTACCCACTAAAATACTCTCCCCTACTATCATGGATTTTGTTCTTGTCCCGGGACCGCTTTCGCGTTACTTCAGAGCAAGGTTTCCAAGCAGGACCCATAGCGGGTCAGTTTCTACTATCCCTGCGTCCAAATGAATTGGCCGGAGGGTCAGCGTCCATGTCCCTTTTCTTGATTCATAGTACAAGTTCCACGTAGGAGGCAATGTACTGCCAGTTTTCGCCATTAGGTTTTCCGTGTTTACTTCTCCAACTTTGTTCTATAAAGTTCTCCGAGCTTCATTCCATCGATGGGACTTAAAGAAGGTATATTTTGCATCATCGAGTGGTTCGTCTCCGTCAATACATGCAGGGCGCTCGGCATTTCCCATGTTAAACAGAGCATCTGTGTTAGGTAGCAGTTCACCTCGCCTTGTTTTCTATTGCCATATCTCTATATCTTAGATCAATTTCCATCTTCCTTTGCGCTCCTATGTCCACCGATCTTGCCAAATTTCGAGTGATTGCTTCCTTGCTTGTTGTCTTGTTTGCATGTGTATTTCCGTTCCATCTTTTTGCCATAACCAGTGCTTCTTCTTCTTCTTCCTTTGCGAGTAGATCTATTGAGATTACGCAGCTTATCACTGACACTGACTTTTTAGCAGCGTGCTGTCACGTCCGCAGCATGACTTGTGTAAGTTTGCCTCTGGCTATGTCGGTATTACGAGCTGTTATGACGGCAGCGATATCGTCCGCGTACCCAATGAGTTAGCAGGCGTCTGGCATTTCGACGTATAAAATTCCGTCATAGCTGAAGTTCCAAAGGTCTGGTCCAAATATGGATCCCTGTGCTGCTCTGGAGGTGATTTCTTTTCTTTGAGGGCCGTCACTTGTAACATAGCAGTTCTCTGTCTTTAAATTAGCTTCGTATCATTTTCGTCAAGTAGGAGGGCGTTTTGAATCGGCTTTCTAGTGCATCTATCATATTTATTCATTTTGCGCTATTGAAAACATTCCTTATGTCTATTGTTGCGAGGAGGACTATTGGCCTCGATAATTTGTTCTTTCGGTTGGCTTCTTCATAGTTAGGGTTCTGCTCCCTTTTCCACGTATACAAACAACACGTGATCCCCACTCTCAAGCTCTTTACATATTTAAAACTAACGTGACTTGCAATCTACAAAATGTTCTCTGTTACTTAATAAAAATTTCCCTTTCGTTTTAAAAGTAGTTCGCATACGCGCAGGAACATTGATGACTCTATGAGGGGAAGATAATATCAGATTTTATCAAAGTAATAACTGTTCCGAAAAGTGCAGCTTAGAAAAGCTAGCCTAGGTAACCATAAAGCATAGATAAAATGATCCGAAACTGGTCTCTTTGCCTTCTGAGAGAGAGAGAACTTTCAGTGCTGCCAAAAAACCACGAGTGCATGAGCTACTGAACAGATGACAAGCAAAACAACGAACTACCACCAAGAATCCTGCAGAAATAAATAGCTAAATCAGTGCGTTATTTGTGAGATCAGATTTTTTAGTGACTTTTCGGTGTGTTTCTAATCTTTATTTAAAGAGATTTAATATAGCTTTGATTTTAAGAAAGAGCGTGTATTTTGTCGCAGAGTATTGTTTTGCTTAGCAGTACCAATTGTCAACGTATATACATATTTTGGCTAGAATTCCCAGCAAATGTTATGTAAACTTTAACTTCCGAATAAATTATCGAAATATATTTGTTTATTCAGTATATAAAAACTAAGTAATGTTCATGTTTAGCTTAGTTAAAACTTGTAACTGTTTTGAAATATTAAAATATTTTCTTAAAATTAGTTTTAAAAGTTAATTTAGAAAATCTTTTGTGATTAAAATATACACGTACATATATTTAGAAGTCATATTGGATATCTAGCTTGTTAAACTAATTTTAATTATGTATATTTTTCTGTAAAATGGAAACTGAAAAATACCCAAGAAATACATTAAAAAATCTCAAAACGTATTTCTTTTACTAGTGGCACCATTGTCAAGTGTTATAAAAAATGTGGACTTTGACAGCGCTCTCTTAAATAAAAGAGTTTCGGATCATTTTATCCATGCCATGAAGCACTAAACTATGAAGGAATTGCCAAAAATATGCTCACAAATTTAAGAGCAAATATGAGTGTCAATTTAGACTATATCCGCCACCATCTGGATAAATTTTCGGATAGTTTAAGTTGTTTTCGGTTCGCCATGCTCTGCTCACTTTTATTCTCTTGTCAAAAAAGTTATATGTAGAAGCAAAAACAAAGTGACTGAGTTGTATTCCTGCAAGATAGTATTCGGATACCTCATTAAAGTGGTATAGCCGCTATCTTCAGTGCAACCAAGTTTTTGTTTTGCATATTTTAGATTAGTTTTACTATTGTGAATGACTCAAATGACAAATAAAAATACAAATGTCTTTTTTTCGTGTATTTTTAAAATTTAAGATTTAAACTCAATAATAGTGATTTATAGAAAACAAAAGTAAAGGGTTTCAGCAACCTTTTGTTAAAGAAAAAAAATATAATTTCTTCACTTAGAAAGAATCATAACACAAGTGCTGCTTGTTTGTTTGTGCATTTGGTACAGTTTTTTTCGATTCGCTGGAGAGTAACGCTTGGCGAATCGAATACAGCTTTAGATAATTATAATGAGAAACAGAGAGACCTGTTTTACTAGCATCTAAAAGTGATGTAAGAAATGTATCAAGGTTGATGTAATCGTCCTATCATTACAGTTTACTGCTGATCTTTGAAAAAAGTTTGTTAACTGGAAAACTATAAAGGAAGAGCTTATAAAAGACATTAAATAGATGGATCCTAATTTTTAAAAATTTTGGTAAACTGATATTATATATATCTAGGGCAATAAAGCCACTGTAGACCAGTGTAATGTTTACTTTCGAGTACGAAGTATCGATCAATCAGTTACTATATATAGATACTTTAAAAATCGAGCTCTGAATACTTAAGCTATGCATACCGTCTAATACTACTAAAGATTTATAGGTGTATGTATACCTGCTCATAAAAAGTGTAGAAACAGTTGGGGCACAATCAAATTCCTTCACTGGTATTTATCTGCTCACGTAAAAGAACACAGTAAAATAACCCACAGGTAGTAAAATACTTTGTCAAATATTTTTATAGCTGAATTTTGCATTTCACCAGTTGGGATGAAGGATTATGATGGTATAATGCCAAAGCAACAAAATTTTCTATGTATGCATATGTGCTCACGTGGTTGTATTTCACCTATGATATAAATAACTTTTTGTAATATAATAGAAGCTGAACCATAGCTACACGCATTTATATCTATATGTAGATGGATTTATGTATATCATACAACGTACATTTATCAAATATCCGTCCCTCAGGTAGTTTTATATATAAGTAAATTCACATAATTTTATTACGAAAGCATTTATCTTTTTTGGCATTAAAGCGAGCGATAGGATGAATGGATTACGCAGTAAAAAGACAAACAATATATCCTCACATACTCGTATATCTGCAAACAGTCTGCCAGACGAAGATATGAACGAAGCAGGTTAGCTGCAATGTGAAAAGCGAATAAGACTTATTACCATCGGCGGCGTGGTTAACAGATTCCGCATTTAACTCATTTTATTTATATTTTTTATATGCTTACGCAATTATCCGAAAGAGGTTAAGCAAATTTATACACAAACAAAAAAGTATGCGCAAGTATTTATACACGCTGACTCCCTTCCAAGTGCGTAACACCTTTTTATGTTTCCCCGCCTAAAGCTGAGCTCTCTTTAAATATTTAAATATTTCATATTTCAAAGGCAGATCTCTCCCGTTGACGGACATACAGACACATTTCTTTGAAAGAAATATGATGAAGGTGTGTGAGCAGGAAACAAATAAACAATTCTTCCGTCCATTTCGTGGAAGGAGAGGAAAACTCAAAATTCACGACTTTAAATTGTAAGCGAAATGAATCGCGCACACGTGTCGGAAAGCAAAGCTGGAACACCCAGTAGGAATTTGTAAGGTTGAAGTTAAGGTGAATGATGATTGATGTTTGTGAAACCTCAGCAAATAATTTGAAACTTTTTACAGTATTTAAGGCGTGAAAATAGTTATCGTTATCATTAGATTCATAATCATGTTAGAAAAGGTCATCTAAATATCTGGAAAAGATATCTGAAAAATATTATGCTAGATTAACATAATATGTTTACGCCTTTTATATCTATTCCCGTTAGCTCCCTTGATGTGTGGAATCTGAAGTGTTTTGGTTTTGATTTCATAAAGTCGAGTAACCTATTGGGTAATGACCAGTTAAAACCCCTACAACTGAAGAAATGCTAAACTCTTCTCTTACGATTTACTTTCAAAACACATTAGTATTATTAAAGCTAAATTAAACAGAGCAGATATGGATAAAACTTGCTCATAGTTGTGGCAGAGTATTTGAGGACATATAATAAAGTTATGAAATACCATCTCGGGCAGGTATAACGTTTTGAGAGCTAAAAACTTATCTTTTGCGGATGAGGAACTTGAGTTGTCTTGAGAAACCCGAGTGGTTCTTGTGTTCTGGATATTGTTCTTTATTAGATTAATATTTATCTAGGCTAAGCCTTGATTTACCAGGATATTTCCTTAATGCAAAGGCTTTTCTTATGATACTAATCCACTCTCTTCATAACCACTTAGTTCTAATCATCTAACATCCCTTTTCCTGTATTCCAACTTTGCCCAAAAAGAGTGTCCTGTGTCCACCGTTAGACAACTTCTTAACCTACCTTTCCTCCAAACCACGTTCAGATAATCACTACAACAACAACAAATTATTGGTGGCAACCAAATTAAGCCTTATCGACCTACGCATTGGATATTATTTTTCTGAAGGTAGGCTCTTAAGGGTAGGTGCCACGTGATGACCCCTAAAATGTTACTTGTTAGTGTGTCCACCATGAATACTACCACAAAATAACTTTGTCATATGCCCTTTGTTACTAGTGTTTCAAGACCGAATGGTCTGGTGCAGTTCAGTATAATTGTGTTCCCAGCTGTTCGGTCGTCGTGCTTTTTTAAAGTTAACCTCAGGTTTTCTAGCTTGCTTTTCACAAAAAGCTGGAAGAATAATTTCTTTCCAACTCAAGTACACATTTCCTCTTCAACTAATCTGACTGTCACGCTTTATTGTATACCGGCAACATGGCCTGACCTGAGCACTAACCCTTAAGAGACTTTACTTATTAAGTTAAAGTTTCCGTACAAGGATTTTTTCATATCATAAGTTGAATTGAAATTGAGGACTCTGCTAGCTTTTGTATAATACTTTTTTAAGGAATTTTCTCTAGATATCCATATCACCTTTCTCTTTTACCACACTATGCTTTTTGTGCAATAAATTTTCCTACACACCCGATCTCATCCCTATAAATTGCTTGCGGCTAAGCATTTAAATATTGCAACACCATACATGTTGAACACCGCCTGCAACAAAACTCAATTCAAATGATTGTCGAATTTCGAACATGTGAAACTGTGTGCTCGCTTTGAAAACGCCGAACCCCTTCAGGTTGAACAGCAACACTTCGCCGCCAATGTCGTCATAAAAGCAACAGCACCAACAATGCCAAGCGCAACAATATTGCCTGCCGTCTGCTTCACATAGCCCAGCATCCAGTCTCTGGCACCCCGCCGTCGACTTTGAAACTTTGCCGCTCACTCCTGCCGATGCGCCTGTTTATTTGCCATTCGGATATTGAAGTTATAAAGCATAAAATCAGTGCCAAACACTGGGGCGTTAAAATATTTTCAAGTGCATGTGAGCTTATAAGCACCCGCTGGGGGCGTAGAAAAATGTACACAGTTGCTTTATGCGCTTTGCTCCTGAAACAGCCAGCTGGTTGCCAGCTCAACCGTGCGCCACCCTACGCCTCCTTCATTCAAGCTCACTTCTCCACTGTTGTGCTCAACTCCAATGCCTAAAATGTGAATATGTGTATGTGTGTGTGCATGTAAATTTTACCTTCGAGGCAGACATACGTTCTGTTTCAAAATTTCACATTTCCGCCGTATCTACCGACACATCAACATATAGTCAGTTGTGTGTTCGCGCGGGCGTATACGTAACGATTTTGCCACAGGAAAACTCAAATGCCCGGAATTGTCGGTGCGGCTTGCAGACAGACAACAATTTTCACTTACTTTAACTGGGGAGTGGGATAAGTGGGCCGCAATAATCTTGCGTTGAGAGTTCTAAATGAAATTTAAAGAATTTTAGGATAATAATTTTACTCAGGTATGCAATTGTAGTTGAGAGTTTGTTAATATAAATTATGGCTTTTTAAATGGTAACCCGTTACTTGATAAATTTATATATGAAAACATATGATTTTACATGTATGGGTTAGGTGTAATTAGAAATATGAAAAAAAGAGAATTTTCAATCATTTTTTTGTCAATAAATTATTTTATTTTATAAAAGTAAAAACATAGCATCATCCAATAAGGTTTCGAGTTATTCCAGTTCCAACCGATGCACCTTGCGGTGACCATTACTAATCCTTGGAGATTCATATAACATCAATGGAACAACAAAAACATAATTTTATTAATAGATAAACTAGTCACCGTTTGGAGATTTATTTTATATTTTTTAATTAACAAAATGGCGGCCTAATGAAAACTTTTTCCTACTTTCCAAAAAAAAAAAGAAGCTGTATAAATTTCATTCACCGCTTCAAAAACCATCGTTTTGAGAAACCGGCATTTGAACTTTTACACAACGTTCCAGAGCGGCTGAGAACCCCTTGCTAATTATCGAATAACCCGCGTTTGTTTGACTTACTTAAAAATTTCTACGAATATTTCTAAGATTCCACTTTAAGAAAAATCAGACTTCCCCTAACCTCTTAAAATGATATTGACAAAGTGAGTGTTGGTGTTGTGGCATATACTATACAGTAGATAGCATCTATGATGTAAACTATTATCTAAATTGAAATTGGAAGTTTGTTGTCAGTTGAGTGATCTTTTGCAATGAAGTGAAAGCACGTCTCCGCGGAAGAATACAATTGAAAATTTAAGGTCCGGTGTGATGGATCCAGAAATCTTTTTTTTTACATTGTTTAAAAATATACTGTAAATGATAGACACAAAAGGAGGGCGCGACGTAGTGCGTATGAAAGTAATTGCATGTACGAATGAAAGTTGTCAAAACTTTGAACGTGTTTTTCTCGAAACCATGTTTTGAAAATTTCGGGGAAACACTGACTAAAAAATATTTAACCGATTTGGCTAAAAATCTTTTTCTAGATACATAAAGCTAAAGACTTGATCTTTGAAGCATTTATTTTTTTGATAATTTATTAATTTTTTTAAACAATTTGTTAGCAAAAAAAAAAAAAAATCGATTTTCAGTACCTTTTTTCACAAGTCCACTATTTAAGTTATTTATATTTTTATTTTATTTTTTATCTATCGCTAGTGTGAACTATAAATAATAATAATCTCTGCGATTTTTTTTTTATTTCAGATGACTTAGAAAGGCTGCGTGCTTCCCCGAAACCGCTTAACGTTCCTTTGAGGACTCCACTTCAACACAAAAAATTATGAACAAATCAATTAAAAATAAAGTAAAAAACAATTTTGTTGTATGCTTGAAAGTAGTAAAAATGTAGAAATTACAAAATGATCGCATATTATTATCACGAAAAAACGTAAAAATTTCGGCCGTCACACCGGCCTACTACCTTAAAGACTTTAAGCTTGATGTTATGTGTGTAAGTCTATTACTCCAGATAATACCAATATAATAAATATTCCTAATATACGTGAACCAATTTCTAATAAATGTAGGATACAATTATGGTTTCAAGATTTTATTTTTGGTGATATATAAATGTGATAATATAGACAAATATAATATTTGCGATATTGAGATCCCATTGCGAAATATGAAATTTCGTTCAATTGTGTTTTTTTAACTATTTTTAAGAAGCCACAACGTAACCAAATATTTGATAATTTGAAGACTGAAAATTTCAAACCAAAGAATAAATATTAATATAGATGAGACATAACCACGCTTTTGAGAACTGTATTACTTGCAAGACGTTCCATCGAATTTACTGCAAGAAGTCCTTATTTTGGGATATGTGCATTGCTATTCAATTTATTTCTCTTTCCATAAATTCTGTTACAAAGTTTACCTATATTTGTTATTATAATTTTTATGCAGCGTCTGCTCTTATGTAATAATCAGTTCAGTGTTTGCTTTTGCTTAATAATAATGGAATGGGAAGCTAAAGAAACTCTTATTGGGATGATTGCTGTTTAAAAGTGTGTTGCAGAAATCCCCTTAGAAAACAAAAAATTTTGTCAAGGGGAATGGATATATCGGTTAGTTCAGTATCGAGTTTTATTTGAAATGGCACGCGGTCAACGGCCATGAAAGTAACCGTTTACAGATGAAACATTTTCACTATTAAAAAATTTTTTAATAAGTAAAACGATAAATTCTAGGCACAAACGTCCAAAGCTGTAAAAAATGTTAGTTCAAGGGCTCAATGTGGTCTCCAGGCATTGTAATGGTTTATTGGTGATGATCTTCTGCAAAGGCGTTGCACAGCTTCACTTCTGTTAAAAAAGGCTTAAAACTGGGGTAAAAGTATACCAGCAAGGTAGTTTTGAAAGCATGCTGCATGGGTTTCACGGCTTCAAAAGATCTATTTTTTTATTGTCTTAAATACATCTATAACATCTTTTGAATATTGTCCTAAATGCTCAAGTTGATCCGAGTAATAGTTATGAAGATAAAGCCTTGAAAAGTTGCTCGCCCGAGATCAGCTATAAAGTCACATAAAATTTTAAACGCGTTTTTCTCGGAATTGTATTTTCAAAGTCGGTTGTCAAGATTTCTCGCGAACTACTCAACCGATTTTAATGAACTTTTACAGAGGTCTTCGAAATAAAATTTACAAGGTCGTGGACGAAGAATTTTCTTTTTTCAATCACAACTAATTAAAAAAAGAATAACATCGAGAATTTTTCAAATTTGCATTTTCTGTAAAAACGCAAAAATACAGTTTTAATTTTTTCTTTTTCCTTCCTCAAATACCTAGTTTATGGTTTTAATTAAAACACGCAGTTTTTTACCATACTTCATATGAGCCCGTAAGAAGTTCTGCCGTTAACGAGGAGGGTCTGCCGGAAATGACGAAATGATAGAAAATTTCACAAAAACTTTGTAAAGATATATCTTTGGAATAATAAAAAGTTTGAATAAGATATTTTTTTTTATACAATATGAAAAAAAAAAAAATTTTTAAATAACCGATTTTTGCTCGAGGATACCCATACAATCACTTAAGCAGTACTCTCTTTCTCGATAGAGAGCATTGGATAGCAATATTCTGCTACAGCACAAAACGCAAAAACTACCCAGCAGTGGCTTCAAATCAATATTCCTGGTTTCATAGCAGATGATTGGCCATCTGGAAGTGCAGATTTGAATCCATTGGATTACAGTTCGTGGTCAGAATTCTATACTTGGGCTGTCAAAATCAGACAGAAATTTGGAAAATCTTCAGTTTGAGAGATTGTGTGAAAGCACAAGATGACGATTTCGAATACAATTTTTTACATCGCTCGCTTAATATATGCACTATGACATAAAATTAACCTTAGTAAAAAATGTATTACAGTTTCTTTGCTATAACGCTCTAAACTTATAACAGAACTTATGACAGTGATTTTAGTAAAATCAACTAAAAACTATATATGAAACATCGTACAGTCAAAATTATGAAGACTACTGAGTGCTGGGTTTGGGTTGGTTGAGTTGAGTGCTGTCCATCTTTCAAATTTAGATATTTTTTCCGTGCGATCATAGTACTTTTTGCTAACACTATTTGTTCGGTATTCTTAGTGATTTTACTCATATCTGATGAGAGTTTGTACAAGAGTCCTATATGTAAAGGAGCGGGGTAGCCGTGGGGAAAGTTTTAGAGTACAAGCTATTCTTGTTAAAGTTTTTGTATTTTAAAATAACCGAAATCTATAATGACATAAAAAAATCCTGATTGTTGTTCAGATAAGATAACATATGGATTGGAATGATAACATAGAACTCGACTCTCAACCAGACAGCACCAGGTATTTGCCTCTATGTTCGGAGTTTCGTCGAACTTTCAAATTGCGGTAATATTCATTTGTTGACGTTGCCTCTGGGGGAGATGTGGGGAAAATATAAAACAACTAAAACTAAAGGTTTTTTTATGAGTTCAAAGCACTTTGTCGACATATGTGGTCTAATCATATGACAAAGGATTCTATATAAATGTCTAAGTGCATTCAACAACAACAGCCGTAAAACCCAACCTAATCTATTGAGATTATAATTGTGTTTATAATTATTTTGTAATATTGTATATAAAAACTTTCAATGAATATTTATTTTGTATTTTTATACCCTGAGCAGGGTATTTTCAGTTTACCATGATGTTTCTAACACCCAAAGGAAAACGCAGGAGACTCTATAAAGTATATACATAAATGATCAGCTTGACGAACTGAGTCGATTTAGCCATGTTCGTCAGTCTGTCCGTTTGTATATACGCGAACTAGTCTCTCAGTTTTGTAGATATCGGTCTGAAACACACTGCACACACCATTTCCTCACCAAGCAAACATCACCCTTGTCGGTACCGCCGATATGGGCATATAGCTGTCATACAAACTGAACGACCGAAATGAATCAGTATGGAAAATTTTTCGTTTGACAAGGTATATTAAAAAAATTTGGCAAATTTTATTATCCAAGGCATCGATATAATCTCTGAAGAAATTGTTTAGATCGGACTACTATATCATACAGCTGCCATACAACTGACCGATCAAACTCATGTCCTTGTACGGAAAACTCTTTTATTTGTCGAGGTATTTTCATGCAATTTGCAATTTATTATTGTTTAACGCATTTTTATAATTTTCGGACGTAAGGTTCAGTTTTTGGAATTATGGATTTGCTGGGAACTGGAACAGAATGAGTGTTCTCAAGGCATTGTTTTTCAACAAGTCTGTAATCATATACTACTCACTTTCTCAGTACAGTATATAATTTTGTTACCCAATAACTTTATATTGCAAAATTTGACAGTTTAATAATTTGAAATAAATCACCGTTAGTTAAGCGATGTTGAATTAATTCTAGTACCGGATGATGATAGTTAACTTGAATAAAATCTCTACAAAATATATAAAATTCGTTGATAACTGTGCTATATAAAATAATTTTCGAAAAATATGTTAAAATTTTAAAGAAATATTCTTTCAATACTTCAGAGTTACCTGAAAACAGCTTCGAACCAATACAGTGAGTAATGACCGCGCAATTTGGAATGCTTCCGCTATTGAAACTGCACTTAAAAATCGTTGCAACAGCAAATTTCAACAAAGCATGCATTTCAAAGAAAAAGAAATATGTGAAAATAATTGCCTGGTAAAAGAATACTCCGAATTTCACAGGAATATGACGGTGCGTATGAGTAATCTGAATACCTTAAATACAGCGACGATGGCATTTCCATGAGCGATAACGTTGATATACACTTTTCACCGTTAACCAAGCGTTGTTTACACCACATGGCACGCAACAAAAAAGGCGAAGAAAAGAAATAACGGAAAATGAAACAACAAAAACACTCAAGAGCATTGGCAACAAAAGCGCCAGCGACTGAGACAAGTGAAGTAGCTGAATTTTTGCTGCTGCAGGCATGCAATTGGAGTGCAAAAAGAAAAGTGGAAAATGGCAAGGAATGAGCGCATGCAAAAATGCTGAATTACGGAAATGCGCCACTTCACAAACATGCCTTTGCCATTAAGCGTCAAAAGGCGAAAAGAGGTAAGAAAATTTGAGGCAGCTGAAAAATTATTGCGTGCACATAAAAGCAAGGAAAGTGCCACACATGCAAAGCAACACACACGCACTCAGTTAAACACAAATGGGCAGGATATCAATTTCCGATAACTAAAAATATTTCAGCTTGCTTTTCATCCACCTGCAGCGCTCTTCGGAGCGTGGTGTGCTCACTTACTTATGTTTACTTTGGAAATTTTGGAAAATTTACACCTGCAGACAGCTGTGCATTTAATTGAGTTTCAGCGTTTAAGCTGAAATTGAGTTCTCAAGTTTTTTCATTTCGGTTTCGAGTGCCTGGGAGTGGTGAGCAGTGGCGCGCAAATGGCAGTTGCCATGTCTGGCGTGCTTCCGGCTGTTTTTGTTTGACGACTGCGCTTAAGATAGGGTATTCCGGTGTGAGCGGTATAGCATTGCCCTGTTAAAACAATCTAAATAATTAAAATATGCAAATGCCGTTAGACTAATCTGAACCCAAAACAGAAACACATGCCGGCACACATACATAAACAAGCACAGCGGATAGAAATGCAAGGATTTGAATATAAAATAAAGTTAACTGCATAAGAGGGTAACAGTTCATGTACTGGAGTTAACTAGCTTTGGGTTTTTACGCGTACTTTGTGTAAGTAAAATCTTAACTGTAATAAATTTATAAAACGGCTCATGAAAAAATTATAAAAGAAGGAAGAAGTGGAGATTAATTTCCAATTATTAACCTCTGTATCCATGGCGGCTACCATAATTTTAAATATAAGCTTAATATATATAAAAATGTTAAGTTGCAAAGTTAGATTAAATTAAATAGTCTTATAAATCTAGGTCTTTTTGGTGAATCTACAAATTTACTATAGTAATGTATATATTTTTTATACCATCGGCAAGCAGAGATTTCAACAAACATAAACTTAACTGAATTTTTAAAAAAATCTGAAATTTCGACTGGAAAATTTTCAATTGAAACTTAGGGTTTTTTTTCGATTTTAAGCCGAAATAAGGTTTCCTCCTAAATATTTTAAATTTAAAAAAATACAGAATGTTGTT